CAAACCCAATTGAGCAAAGCTCATAATTTACGTCCTGTTCCGAAGACTCTTTTAACTCTTCCACCAGAAGACCCCAAAGAAAGGTTTTTGAGGAATTGTAAAGAAAAAGAAGTCTTTCAAAAATTAGAATAAGAAAAACAAAGAAAGGAAAAAATAAGGGTGTTGTTAAATGAACCCTAAAATTAACTTAGTAGAGTGTACTTTTTAAAATTATATTTGTTTCACAATTCAGTATATCCTTTTTTATCATTTTATATTAGGGATATTAGTAATTCAATAAATAGTTGGTAGTAGGATGTATTCAGTTAATTGGATTCGTTTAATAGCACTCATTGTTAAACTGTTAATTTGAATTATACATTCAAACATATTTTAAATAAGAATTGATCAACTACTCTTGTTTAAAATGATCATTAAATTGACAATCTAATCAGTATATTTGACAGAAAACATTCTTTATAAAAAGAAAATTCGTTCCCAATATTTTTATTATTATAGGAAAACAGCCAATTAATCTTTAGTGTTTCTCAATTTGCAATATTCAAAATAGAGATCTCAGAGAGTGTTGAAGAGACCAACAAAGTCTAGTCTAGTGAAAAATGTTCTTTACTTGCATGCTAGAGGTTTCAGATTCAAACTGCAATGACATCTTGGTTGTGTGAGAGAAAACCCCTCTACTTTAGTTTGACCATCGCTTGTACTTTAAAAAAAAAAAGAGTGTTGAAGAGAGAGAGAGATATTAGAGTTGAGTAAGCTATAACACTCTCAAAGGAAGTGGCAAAGGCACAATTTTCACGAACTTGTAGTAAAAGTATACGACCGTAATGTTCTTTAAACAAAATTTCTGAAGATCTGGAATCTTGTTTTTGCTTTTGCTCTATTTGTACTTTATTTTCACCCTCTTATGACATATGAGAGATATAAGTCATATGACCTTTTTGCAACTTCTCTCAAAGTTCTTCAATGCCCCGTGATGGTCGCCGGTTCACATGAAACAAGGCAGGGCCACTTTCTTCTTCTTCTTCTTCTTCTTCTTCTCATCCATTACTTTTCCTTAACTTTTCAAATTAACCATCCCTATAACATATATATATATATATATATATATATATCACGAGTCAATTATCATCCTCAATTATAGCTTACAGGGTCATTTCATTTTGATACTCAACTATCAAAACGCAGCAATGTAAATCTTTTTATGGAATATGTAACAGAAAGTTAAAATTGTAACCTACAAAAAATTTATGGACGATGTTGCGACGTTTTGCTAGTCGGGTACGAAAATGAAATGGCCCCTATAGTTGAAAGGGCTAAAATGTAATTTGCTATGATATTATTATTATCTATAGGCATAATAATTCATGCAAAAGGTCCATATAGTGTGATTACGTAACTTTCTATTATAATAGTGGAGTGGATATGTGAAATAATGTCTTGGCCGCTGGATTGTGATGTGATGATGCCTTTTATATTAATAGGAGTAGTACTTCAATTGACTAAGAGTTTATTATGTTTTGGGGTTTCTGGAAGAAAATGATGGTAAAAGTTAAAATGTAGCTCAGTAACAAAGGTGGGATGGTAAAAAGAGAGAGATGATCCCTAGTTTTTTGTCACTTTTGTGCTGCATGTGTGTCATGAAATTTTGTCTGCCACTATGCCCCCTCCCTTTCTGTGTGCAATTCAGTTAGAAACAAGTAGACACCAGTGTGATTTTATATGCATGACACCGCTTGCATATATATATTTTCATGACAAAATGCTACCTATCTTCCCTCTCTTGCCCTTTCTTTCTTCACCTTGTTCACTGTATGTCAAGTGTATTTTACTCACACATAAATTTACGTATTTAAAGTGTTCAAGAACTTTTTACATATTTTTTTTATAATTAAGTAAATGTGTATGAGAAATGCTCTAAGAGGAAAGCAAGAGGAGAATGTAGCTAGCATTCCTGTATTTTTATTGCACACGGTTCTTAGCTTCTTAAAGGCAGACCAAAATAGAGTAGCACTAGAAAATGCTTATCCATTTATAACGATCCTTATCGGAGAAGCATAATTTTGTAACACATTGGAGGAACAGCCTTCCCAAAATCATTCAAACCAAGTCATAGTTTGATATAAATTTATGAGGCAAAATCAACATGGGGTTGGGTTATGTGAGGACAAAGATAAGCCTATGTGGTATAGATATATTCATCAAAGCATTTCCTAGGTTTTAGCCTCTGAATATTACGTTTTTGTTTGTTTAATAGTTCTGGTTCCCCAAATATAGAGTAAGACTTTTGCAATGCTTGATTGGCTTGCAAGGTTGAGTTTGCACATCCCCATACACACTGTTTTTCATCTGAGTGAGTGTTGATGACAATAGGACATGTATTCTGAGGTGCTGCACTGTGTTTTGTGCTGTGAGAGAGAGAGAGAGAGAGGGAGTTAAGTTTAGGCATTAATATATTTTGGGTCGATGGATCTGAATGGATGTAATAGAAAGCAACCATAATAAAAGGGAGTAGGTCCTCTAGCTAGCTAAAGCTTGATTCAACGGTATTGGGAATTGAAGGCCTGCATGTAATATTTTGTGATCCGGATCACGAGCATCAAGCAAATAATTTTTGTTTAGTGGTCAAGATTTTAATTGTTACGCTACATGGTTAGGAACTATGAGGCTCTGATCTCATTAAATTTTTTTTTAAAAAAAAAAGAAAAAAAAAAGACTATGAGGCTCTGATGGTTTTTGAAATTATTTTATATAATCAGAAAATCAAATGTTTGACTTAATCTAATTCTAACTCATTTTGTTACTCATCTTCGTTGGTCGAACTAAACCTAAGGGATTGAGGGTTTTTTTTTCAATGGCTTAGTTAATTTTGTTGGGATTGTGTGGCTTGATATAGGTCATAGATGGGGATGCACATATATATAGTCCATGTTTAACTAGAGAGGATTAAGATGATTTTACCTCCAAGAATTCAAGGGACATTTTTTCTTTGCAGAGGCTGTTGATTATGTTGAAATGGTTGATAGCGGAAAAGTTCGTGCAGAAGTGAAAGTAATTCTGGGAATGTAGAGAAAAGGGTGAGCTTTATGCTACCAGAAGATATGCTAATATATTCATATTCTGTTCACGAGATCAAGGTGATTCTCTTTTAATTATCAAGGCAGCCTTGAATTAAAGCCCAATAATTAAAAACTTAAGAAATTTGCAACTGAAATAACTACCATTGTCCACTAATAACCTAGCACCTTATATTAAAATATAAAAAGATTTTCGTAGAAATGTCACATGAACTTATACCTCAGTTTCAATTTGTCACTTTAAAGAAAAATTGAAGGGAAATGTCACTTAATTTTTCAAAATCCATAATTTGTTATTTGATTTCAACACTATCCAATTTTCCATCCATTGTAAAGAATATTTTAAAGAGAAAAAAATCATTATAAAAAATTATATATCTTTTAAAAATTAACCATTAAAAATGAAAAAAAATGAAGAAAGAAAATTGAAAATTGCATTTTTTTTACATCCCCCTTAAGCCGTCTCTCTCTACTCTCCCTCTCCCTTCCTCCGCCCCGCCCCCCCCCAATATCCCCTGCCCTCTCCTCTGTTATTTTTTCTCCCCCACCCTCTCCCTCTGTTTGACTCCGACAGATAAAACCATATAATAATATTCCGTGAGTTTGTGTTTTTGATTTTGTGAATTTTTCTCTTTAAGCTCGTTTCAATTTCTAAAGTTTCTGAATGTTTCTAAATTCAAAATAAATGGTTTATTAAATTAAGGATTTAGAGTTTGGATTATTGATCTGTTGGCAGGGAGAGCACTCTCTGCGCTCTTTGTTTATCGCTTAGGTACTTTGGCATGCAGTCATCAAATAGAGTGAGAGAGTGGGGGTGGGTTGCGGGTAGGGGCTGGGGTGGTCAGGTCGTGGGTGAGAAAAAAAAACTGGCGGGACGGTTGGGGAGGGGTGGGGGAGGAAGGGAGAGAGTTCACTTTTTTTTTCCTTGAAAATGAAAAGACTAAAATATCCTTAATATGGAAAATTGAATTGTGTTAAATTCAAATGACAAATCTTGAATTTTGAAAAATTAAGATGACATGTCTCTTAAATTTTTTTTAAAGTGACAAATTGAAATTGAAATATAAATTCAAATGACATTTCTATAGAAATCCCAAACATAAATAAATTGACGTTGAGGAAGAAAGAAAAGTAGAGGTAATCTTTTAATTTTTCCCAAAAAAGTAGAGGTAATCAAATGGCACTGTAATAGGTGCTAGAGAAAATTGAAGCTCATTCGTACAACTATGAAAAAGGTTGATTGCCTTTTTAATAAGCTACAGAGGAAGAGCAAACCTCCCCTAGAAAAAAACTATCTCTATGTATGAAATATAAAAGAAAAAAAAAAAAAAAAAAAAAAAAAAAAAAAACACCACCTCTGGAACTTAGCTCCAATCGCCAGCCCTTTGGGGCTCCTCCCCTTTCTCCCATCCTCTCCTCCCTCTCTTGCCCCTGTCTCTCCCCTCTCTTTTGGGGTTGTTTTACCAATTTTTTTGCAGGATTTTCCGCTTGGTTACGCTTGTGATTTCGTTGATGACTCTTGTGGTTTTGTCGTCCATGAAATCTTTGGTGACAACAAAAGAAGCAGAAAATAACACAACTAGGCTCTGTTTGGTGGGCTGGACTGGATGAGATATTTCCAATTAAAATGGACATGAATCCTAACTATTGTTTGGTGGGTTTTAATGTGTTTCACACTGGATATGAGTCTTCGGATCCAAGTCCCAAATAACTATGGTTATGAAACCCAACCCCATATGTGGGTTTACAATGAAACCTTTGTCGTCATCTCTCTCCTTCCCATCCATTCCGCTCCTTCTTCTCTATTCTCCTCTTTTATATTCTCTCTCTCTCTCTTTCTCTCTCTCTCCCCTATATCCTCTACCCAATCTCGCTCTCATCTCTTTCACGACATCATTGAACTTCGCTGGTTCTTCAGTTTGTGAAATGGGTGAAATCGGTTTGGGTTGGTGGGTCCAATGGCTGTGCAGAGATAGAACGGAGCAAGGGTAGTTGGTAATTACTGCCTGAAGAAGAAAGTGGGTCCACTGCTACTCTTTTTGTAGATTTGGAGTTGGGCAAGGAGAGGTTGGAATTTGGAAGTGAGGAAGAAGAAGAAGAAGAAGAAGACGAAGAGAGGATTTGGGGATAGGGATTTTTGTAGAGGGAGAGAGAGAGAAGGCTCAAGAGCTCGTTTGCTGAAGAGGAAGGTGTAACGCTCCTATTTCGTAGCTTTATCGGATCAGATTCAGTTTTCGTTTTCTTATTTTATTTTCACATTTCCTTGTGTTTTCTCAGCAACCAAACGGTTTGCATTTCTCTTCCCTGTGTGAAGATTCTCTCGTTTTCGTCACACGATTTGTTTGACCAATCAAGGGAAGGTTTCATACGCCGATTAGGGGCTTGAGATTTTGCATATGATTATTGTTAATAAAAAATAAAATAAAATTCTGATTTATTAAAAAGAAAAAAGAAGAAAAAAAAGAAGAAGAAGTTAATTTCAGTCTGTTGTTTGGTGCAAAAATGGATAGGACTGGACCCAAAGCCTACACAGTCCAAGCCAGCCCAATTCAATACTTTGAAGTCTATCCCGACCAATCCAGTCCAGTCCATCAAACGGGACCCTAGAGAAGAAAAAAAAGAAAAGGAAACGCCCTAATTAAGCAAGAGAAAGTGATGCCGCTACGTAAAAGAACTGTATTTGCTCCAGTATCTCTTTGGCATGTCTTGAGCTCCTTTGTTCCACTTGTGAAAACAACTCATTGCTAAGGTGTTCACCGATGTGTGCATCGATGAGCACTCCGCCCGCACTCCTACAACTGTTGGCAAGGGCTCGACCAACTTCAGCCGCATCATCTGGTTGGTTCACTACAAGGGGGCTTCCTCCATTGAAAATCTCAAGCTTGTTCATGGTGAATGAGCCATCAGCTTCCACTACTTCCTTGAAGTCTTGTAAGCTTGAGGCATACACAGGAAAGTTGAAACTATCGCCTTTCTCACTAGTGATAAGACCTGCCAAAAAAAATTTGATAATTAATCTACACACTCACATGTTTATGTCAAAAGTAGTAGTATAGCTTATACAAAAACATAATCTAAAGCTAAATATTTACTTTACTAAATTTATCAGCACATGGCCGATCACAAATTTCCCAGAAAAAACAAGCTAAATATTTACTTTACTAATATATTAGGGTCAGAGCACGATTTTTCCCAGAAAAAAAGATGCAATTTACTCTAAAGTCATCGACACCAACCATGAACATATTGTAATATATAACCATGTGTATCGCTCTGATTAGAGAATCTTATGAACACTGATTTTAACTTATCCAAAATGTCCTTGTCCTGTAATATAATATTATGACTATAATTTTGTTTGAAAAAAAAGCTACCCAATTGATCCATGGTCAATAATATGGACCACCCAACAGTCAACAATAGCTATTATTTTGCCGACAAAAATATCATGGACAAATTAATGGAGGGCTTGATCGATTTATGGGGGACCATCCAAGAATTAGCACAACTTAATCATGATCAGTGAAAATTCATAATAAGGTCTTGAATCCAATAACACCTACTCATGCATATCTCTATTTTTTTTCCCTTCTTTCTTTTTCGTTTTGTTCTTTTACTTTTTGGTCTGCCAATTGAATCACTGGAGTAGTTGATTGAGCTATTCCGCCTCTACCTATACGCGTAAAGGTTCGAAACCCCAAACACCCAATCAATATTTATGTGTAAATCCACCTCCCTCAATCACTTTTACTAAAAAAATGAGAAAGCACAAAAATGTGACTTAGCTATATAAAGCTTACATGTATTATTTTGTGACAAAGTATATATCATGATTACCTCTTGGACAAGATCATCCCAAGCACCCTGAATGTGGGTCCCCAAGAGAAGGCCTAAGCCACTTTGTTCAGTGGGGTCCACTGAGGTCCTGCCCAAACAGGCGAGAAACATGGAGCCACCTTTCTTGAGCTCCTTGGCTCTTGACCTGAGAAAGCTTGCCAAGTCTGTCTGGAACTGCTTCTTGTATGCATTGGCTGTGCTCTCATTTGCTCCATGAATGAACACCCTCCCTTTGTTGTAGGCTGCTGATCTCTTGTCTAGCACACTCTCTGGCACCTGGGTCCCACGCAACACATAAAAGAACTATCAATTAATATGAGAGGGCATCTTAAAAGAAATGCTAACGGGACTTCCTCAAAAGTGTCTCTACATAAACTTCTGCCAGATTATAATTTTGGATCAAGAACTAATTTTAAGTACGTTCATTCCTCTTTACACAATAAACATGAAGTGACAACAAGAAGTAATTAAGTGACTAATTATTAGCTAGTAAGTATCTATCACATTGAATAATGGATTAATTACCTGTGAGAGCCAACGCAAGGAAAACGCCGAGTGAAAAAGGTCAATGGACCTCGACGGGAAAAGCCACCGGAAGAAGGAGCCGGCGACTCCTGCAGCCAATTAGGAGCGGTGGCTGTCGGCAGCAAGGGCCTCCTCCATGCTGCCGCCGTGGTTGCCCAGAGGAAGGAGGAGCTGGAAGAGGGCGTTGAAGTCATTGCTAGGGAGATCAGAGAAAAAGGCTGAGAACTCAGGTGAGTCATATCCCAAGGCATCATAGCGCTTGGTCATGTGCTTGATGATCAAATCTACAGTGTTGATGCTGTTGCTTCCACTTGAGCATCCAAGGTCCGCAACCAAAAAAAGGAATTCTGGAGAGCTCAGCTGCACTCTGTCTAGGGTTTCTTTAAGCAGGTGAAGCATGGAATTTGCATGTTTGGCCTGAAAAATTAAGGACAAAAGTATTATTGCCACATAAATTAAGCAACTTGAAATTTTGAAAAAACAATTAATATAGTTAATGGACTAATTACCTGTACTTTGGAATTGTTAACATAGCTTAATTCTTCTTTGCCTCCTTTCATGCTAAGTTCTTCTCGAGGTTTATACTTGAAACTGAAACATTGTCTCCCTTAGGAGCCATGAATATGATCAATTAATAAGAAGTATTTGAAATAAGATTAATACTGTGGTAAGGGCGAAAGAGAGGGAGGGGTGCTGTTTTTAAGAATTGTGATACTAAATTATGATATAGAGCATTTTGGAGTGTTAGGATGCCAATCTTTAAGGCCTCGTTTGTTAGGGAGGACTAGACTAAATTAGCAAAATGCCTACATTTCATGTGCATTCAAGGCATAATATGGATGTCATGGTCTAACGAGGATTAAAGAGGACTATTCATAAGAGGTTGATGACTAGGCATTTTACTAGTCTAGTCTATTCCTCTCTACCAAATATGTTTGTGTTGTCATTGTGTAAGAACCTGGATTTTCAATATTATTAAATTTGTTCGTATTAATGTTATTATTAAGGTCTATTGTCCTTATACTTCAATGTTCTAGAGATGTTGGTTGTTTCGACTATAATTTATTTTTGACAATTTACTACACAAACTTAGTATTTGGTGTTTCACATCCGTTGACTTCTGTTTATTCTTTCGTTTGAAAGTTCCAAAGACACTCTGATATTGCCTATGCTGTAAGCGTCGCTAGCCAATTTATGCATTCACCTAGTGACGATCATATGGTTGCTGTGATACGTATTCTGAGTTATTTAAAGTCTGCTCCTGGGAGAGGTTTATTATTTAAGAAAAATGGTCACTTGGATCTGGAAGGTTACACTGACGCAGATTATGCCATACATCAGGTTACTATCACCTTTGTTGGTGGTAACCTAGTTACGTGGCTTAGCAAGAAGCAAAACGTTGTGTCTCGGTCCTCCACAGAGTCTGAGTATAGAGGGATTGCCCAAGGGGTTTGTGAAATACTGTGGTTGAGGTGGTTACTTGCTGAAATTGGGTTTAGACCGAATGCTGCTACAAAGCTCCACTGTGATAATTAGTCTGCATTTGAAATTGCTAACAATCCGGTGCAACATGATCGAACTAAGCATTCAGAAGTTGATCAGCATTTCATTAAGGAGAAGCTGGAGCATAAGTTAATTTCTATACCTTTTGTGCCTTCTTCAGAGCAGCTTGCAGATATGTTGACCCATGCTGTGTCAAAGCGCCAATTTGAAGACTTACTTGACAAGTTGGGCATTACCGATATCTATGCACCAACTTGAGGGAGAGTGTTGGCGTGAGTCAACGTTTCTATTAGGAATAGAATTTGTTCATATTAGGAATAGAATTTCTGTTTTATTGTAATTATCTAATTTGAGTAGAATTAGGAGATTTTGTACATATTTCCTATTTGTAACTACTCTGTATGTAGTATATATATTCCTCATTAAGAGAAGAATAAATATATCAGTTTTAAACCCTAATTATTTTGAGTTATTGGTCGCGCAAAGTCTAAAAAAAATTATAAAAATAATAAAAATTTCCCGTGTCCCATTTTTGGTACCCGCCCAAATTTTTATGTGACGAAAAATATATTTTGGTCGCGCAAAGTTTTGAGAGACAAAAAATATTGGTCGCGCAAAGTCTAAATTTAAAAAATAAAAAATAAAAAATCCCGCATCCCATTTTTGGTACCCGCCCAAATTTTTAGAGTTTTGCACGACGAACTGTTGGTCGCACAAACTTTTGATAGACGAAAAATTGGTTCGTAGCACAATATTTATAAAAATAACTATTATGAATAATAAAAAATAAAATAATTTTATTTTACGATTTAAAATACAAATAAAGTTAAAGCTACTTAATAAATATATATACTATTAAATTTCTTAAGTGTTATATGTACAAAATAAATAAATTTAAAGCTACTTAATAAATAAATATATATATATATATACACACACCATTCAACGATCCAACCGTAAGATTTGTTTGTATATACTTCAAGATTGTATACCCCGAAAATCGCAAAAAAACAAACATTCAGAGATCTAGTAACGGGACAAAACTTTTTGATGGTTATAAATGAAAAATCACGATTTAACGGTTATTTTAACTCCGATTTTGATGATTTTTTTACAGCTACACTCCTTGACCCTATATGAATACAATGATTGAATTTGATTTCAATTTAAAATATTTACACTAGTGGATACCACAAAATCTTATGTTATATTTAATGAAAGTATAAATGAACTCTTAATTGTTAGTGAATATATTGTTTTGATGCCATACGCATTCTACGAAACTAGTTTCAACGATCCAACCGTCAAACTTGTTTTTTTATACTTCGAGATCATAGTCACCAAAAATCGGAAAAAATAAACATTTAGAGATCAAGTAATGGGACAAAATTTTTCGACGGTTATAAATGAAAAATCATGATTTAAGGGTTATTTTAACTCCAATTTTGATGATTTTTTTACAGCTACACTCCTTGACCATATATGAATACAATGACTGAATTTGAACTTCAATTTAAAATATTTACACTAGTGGATACCACAAAATCTTATGTTATATTTAACAAAAGTATAAATAAACTCTTAATTGTTAGTGAATATGTTTTGATGGCATATGCATTCAACAAAACTAGTTTCAACGATCCAACCGTCAAACTTGTTTGTTTATACTTCGAGATCATATACGCCAAAAATTGGAAAAAATAAACATTCAGAGATCAAGTAATGAGACAAAACTTTTCGACAGTTATAAATGAAAAATCACGATTTAACGGTTATTTTAACTCCGATTTTGATGATTTTTTACAGCTCTACTCCTTGACCCTATATGAATACAATGAACTAATTCGATCATCAATTTAAAATATATATTTTCTAACAAAAACCCAATCCGAACAACAATAATATATTTTTCTAACAAAATCCGATCTGATCTAAAATAATAAATTTAAAGCTACTTAATAAATATATATACCGTTTAATTTCTTAAGTGTTATGCATACAAAATTTTTTTGTAAAAAAAATTGGTTTAGGTGACGAAATGTTTGGATTACATCATGCAAAGATTTTAAAAAATAATTTTTTAATTTTATTTATTTTTATAAGGACTTTGGCGACGAAGTTTATTGTTTCGTCGCGCAAGACTTTGAGTGACAAAGTTTTGAGTTTCGTCACGCAAAGTGACTTTGAGCGATGAATAGTTTTTCGTCGTGCAAAATTTGGTCGCGCAAGGGATTTTTTTTACTTGCTGGAAAGGATTATTTAATTTAATCTCAAGCTTCAAGCGTTCATTTATTTATTTATTCCCAGATTCAAGCCTTAATTTCTTTAAAGATAATAATATTAATTCTTTGGCTTTGATTAGGTGTTCGGTTTTGATTTGTACCCAATTGGGATCTAAACTTGTTTGGTTCGTGGAATAAACGTTTTGGGAATGAAACTCCCATGTGTAATCCCAGAAGATGGGAATGGAAGATGTTTGTTCTCGTGTTTGGTAACATTTGGAAATACAAACCAGGAAATGTCACTTTCTCTCATTGTTATATTTAGTATGCAATATTAAGAATGCAAAGTTGATTTTTCCAACAATGCTCTTTTCTTATTTAAAGTTTCTAATGAAAGGTGGTATTTAAAAAGTAAAATAGGGGTAAGTTAGTTTAAAAAATAAAAAAAAGCATTAAATGTTTTCCCAAGTGGGGAAAAATATTCCCAAGAAGGGCCAACGGTATGAAATTCCTCTTAATTGGGAAGTTCATACCCGTCAGTTAGAATGCAATTTCATACCATTTCCATGCTCCTAAACTTTGAACCAAACGAGCCTTAGTGTTAAGTATTTGACTCTTTCCAATGGGAGATTCAATTTGTTTATTTTGATGATGTATATGGATTAAAATTCATTAGATTAATCTAATGATTAGGATTTTTTAAATGCTAGACAAATATTCTTGTATATATATATAGTCGTCCCTTTCCATTGAGGGATCCCTCAAATTATTTTATTTAAGGGACATCCTTTAAGGTACCATGCTAATTTTTTTTCAACGATATCCAAACCCTCTATTTTTCAAATCTTCATTCATAGATCATCCTTACAAAAAATCAGACAAAGTGAAAATCATTAAGGCATCTAATTGAGAACAATAAAATCAATGAACATGGTGCTTCAAGAAAGTACTTAAATTTTAATAATTTAATTAAATGGTCAAATGATATCAAGTGATTTTTTTTTTTTTTTTTTTTTTTTTTTTTTTGTGGTAGAGATGATCTTTGAATGAATATATACAAAATAGATAGTTTGGATTAGTGAATTACAATGCGGAGTAGGTTCTACAAGAGCGTCCGTCATATATATATAAATTTTGTTTTTAAATATGATTATAGTAGTTTGAACCTAAAACCTATCACATGAATTAAGGCACATGACCATCTCTACATGGATTTTGAAAAGGTTTAAAATACATAAATAGAGACATTGCTAAAACAGGAAAGAGGGCCAACACCATCAGTAGTTTCCGATTGGGGAAACAATGGAGTACATAATACTATTATGTATACTATTCTATACTTCACGTGGTTAGCAGCATTATGAGATACAAACGTTTTTATTACTACAAGACAATGTGTATCTTGCATCTCGACTATAAAATAATTTAGAGAGAATGCCAGCTATGTTTCTTAAAGTTGTGTTTGTCAAATTTGTTGTTCCCCAAATATAAATTCAGGCAGAGATGATTAGGAAGCTCCATTAGAACAAATTATTTGTAGGATTACTACTCCAAGATGCAGCTTTTAAAAAATAAAAAATCTTCAGAAAGTTCGATTTTATTATTTTCTTATGAGAACTTTAATCAATGGATAATGAGGATCAAAGCAATCTATTAAAAGCCAAACGATGATTGATTATTTTCTTATTACATTAACCATCCACCCCAGAAATTAAGGTTTAGTTTGTAGCTAACCCTTTTTCTAATTACTAATTCGGCTTCTAGACTTTATTGGATTTTGCTTAATTAACCACCAACATTAATCCACTATGCTATTTTTCATATTGGGTCTCTATCCACCACTTTTAAAGAATTATAAAATTAGGTGGATTATTGCATAATAGGTAATCTCACAGACTGGTCTCTCGTTAGGAATGTTGATGAGAACTAGGGCCAGATTGGGTCAACTTTTATGATTGCATTGTGAAGAGGGAGTCTGCCTTCCTAATCAAGTATCATGCATGCATCAAGATTTGCAGCCGACATAGCCTGGACGATCTCGGTATGGCCCTCAGCATAAGCCAAGTAGAGAGAGCAACGTCCATAGTGATCCAACTGTTGTGTAAGTATAGAGTTCCTAGGGACAACTGTGTTGGTAAAATCAAGGTGGCTGAGCATAGCAGACGCATGCAAAGGAGAGTCTCTCTATGTTGTTAGAGAAACTCTGTGAAGGATGGTGGGCTCTTTCTGGATCAATGCGTTTAAGGACGCAACAAACCCAGTATGTGCTGCCTCACACAGTAATTTTGTATCTTTTATGTACAACTTTAGTAGTAATCTCCATTCCCATATATGCCTGCTTAAGGCTGTTTTGGTTCGGCTCGTCCAGACCCTTTTTATTTTATTTTTTCTCCTTAACCTTATTTTAGACTTAATCAAAATAATGAAATATGTGGGATAAATTAATAAATTTCTTATTTTCTTTATAAATGTTATGAATCAAGCTAATTTGTTCAATGTTGTCTAAACATTTTAAGAAACTCTATACTCATTTTAAGAAACTTTTTTGAACCATTGAATTAATATCCAAGAGATTTGTGGTCACTCACTGTTGGATGTAAATTCAATAGTTCACTCACTCTTACACTCATTTTAAGAAACTTTTTTGAACAATTGGATTAATATCCAATGATGGGTGACCACAATCTCTCGGACTCTTGTGGTCCAAGAGATCGGGACTGTTGTAACATCAACTTTGCTAAAATATGAGAACTATGAGAGAATATTTGTTTGTGGGAATTTTCTATGTATTCTTCTCCTTGTAGGAGGTTATATTTATAATACAATGAAACCTGAATGGGCAAGTAAATAATAAATTCCTATTTCTATTTACAGTAGGAAATCAGGAATTAAAGTAAATCAAATATAATTATAATAGAAATCCTTGGTGTGTAAGGAAAGAAAGTCAATGGTTCACAAGTTACGTCAATACTCCCCCTCACGTTGGTACATAGATGTCACCAATGCCCAACTGGTCTAGTGGATTGTGGAATGCTTTACTAGAAATTGCTTTTGTCAAAATATCCGTCAATTGATCCTCAAACTTTACGAAAGGAAACTGAATCACTTTAGCTTCGAGCTTCTATTTGATATAGTGTCGATCTACTTCAACATGATTGGTGCGATCTTCTTTAACCAAATGAGTTCGCAAATTTCTTTGGTCATACCTCTGAACTCGGCTTCTGCACTGGATAAGGTGACCACCTTATGTTTCTTGCTTCTCCATATAACCAAATTACCTCCCATGAATGTGAAGTAACCGGATGTGGATTTCCTATTTGTTATATTTCTTGCCCAATCTGCATATGCATAACCATCAATATTTAGATGATCATGTCTTGAGAACATAAGTCATTTTCCGGGTGCAGACTTCAAATATATAAGTATTCGAATAACTGCATTCATGTGGTCTTCACTCGAAGAATACATATATTGACTGACGACGCTCACCGCATAAGCAATGTCTGGTCTAGTATGAGACAAGTAGATCAATCTTCCCACTAACCGTTGGTATCTTTCTTTGTTAGTTGGAACTTGACCTAGGTATTCTCCAAGATGATAATTATGAACAATATGAGTGTCTACAGGTTTGCAATTTAGCATTTCTGTGTCTGTCAATAAGTCCAAGAAATATTTCATTTGAGAGAGAAATATGTCTCGTTGTGATCGGGCCATCTCAATCCCCAAGAAATATTTGAGTCCACCTAGATTCTTTCTCTCAAATTCAATAGCCAAATAGTCTTGTAGCTAAAATATTTCATGTCTATCCTTCCCAGTAATAATCATGTCGCCAACATAGATTATTAAAACTGTTACAGTCCTTTTTTGATGTTTCAAGAACAAAGTATGATTTGAGTTACTCTGTCAGAAACCATTGTTCTTCATTGTCATGGTGAACCGTCCAAACTATGCACGTGGTGACTGTTTTAGTCCATGCAACGCCTTTCGTAATTTGCATACTGTTCCAGTCTGAATAGTATTATATCCATGAGGAATGTCCATATACACCTCCTCCGTGAGTTCTCCATGTAGGAAGACATTCTTTACATCAAACTGGTGTAGTGGCCAGTCCAAATTAATTGCGAGGGACAATAAGACTCTGATTGTGTTTAATTTTACAACTATGGCAAAGGTTTCTTCATAATCTACGCCATAAGTCTGTGTGTACCATTTTGCCATAAGTCTTGCATTGTATCGCTCGATAGATCCATCAGCATTGTGTTTTATTGTAAATACCCATCTACATCCATCTACATCCAACGGTCTTTTTTCCTCGTGGTAAAGTTCTCAGTGTCCAAATCTGATTCTTCTCAAGAGATTTCATATCTTTCTTTATAACTTGAACCCACTTAGGATCTTTAAATGCTTCAGTAACTTTGATTGGGATATGAATAGCAGACAATTGATGCACAAATGCCTTAAATGGTTCAAACAGCTTTTCAGTGGATACATGATTCGCAATTGGATACTTTGAAGTCTTGCCAATATGAGGTGAATAACGATTTGGTGGCTTTCCATGATTCTGCCTGAAAGGTAATTGGTATCCAATAGATTTATCATCTAAATTCACAAGTGTAGTAGAAGTAGTTACCTCAAGGATATTCTCAGGAGATTGGTCTGTTGGTACTGTTGAGTTAGAGGGGGGTATTCATCTTGTTGTTCTGTATTGTCTGCAGGTGTGGGACTCAAATCAGAAATATCATCTCAGGGATCAAGTGGGTCAGGCGATTGATCGCTATGAATAGACGATTGATCGCTTTTCGGCAGAGAGTAATCTTGTGCTCCAGACTCGGGACGATCGATCATTTATATGAGAATTTCTTCGTTTTCCAAGTTGCTCCAATTATGCTCTTCACTTTGTATCTCCCCCTGAAGTGTAGAATTGGATGATGGGTCATCGAAGAACAACCCAAATTTCAGAAAGGTCATATCCAAAGTGACATAGGTACGTCGAATAGGATGGTGATAACAATGGTAGCCTTTCTAATGAGTGACATAACCCACAAAAACACAACAAATCGCATATGGATCAAGTTTGCTATGTTGATTTTTGTGGAGATGAACGAAAGCCACACATCCAAAGATCCGGGGTGTGAGTACCAAAACAGAGGGTAGAGGTTGGTGCTGCGTAAACACTTGTAAGAGAGTTTTAAAGGTCAATACACTAGAAGGCATGCGGTTAATCAGGTGAACTGCGGTGACAATAACATCATCCCAGTGATGGCGAGGAACATGATAGCCAATCAGAAGTGCTCGGGTGGTTTCAAGAAGATGTCGATTCTTTTGTTCAACAACACTATTTTGTTGAGGTGTCTAAGGACAAGTCGTCTCATGGATAATTCCATGTTGTTGGAAGTAAGTCTGAAAGTCATGATTGAAAAATTCTCCACCATTGTCTGAGCGAAGAATCTGGATTTGAGTATTAAACTGATTTTTCATATGTTTGTTGAAAGACTGAAAACAGGAAAACACTTCGTTTTTATTCTGCAGCAAATAAAGTCATGCCATCCGTGTACAATCATCTATTAATGTGACAAACCACCGAACACCAGAAGGAGCAGTGATAGGTGAAGGTCCCCAGACATCAGAGTGAATTAACGCAAACGGAGTGGTACACTTGTTCATACTGAACGGATAGGGCACACAGTGACTCTTGGCCAAAATATAAGTATCACATGTGAAGTCGAAGTCCTTGAAACATAAGAATAAATTTGGTATAAGATGCTTCATATAACTAAAAGACGGATGTCCCAATCGATGGTCCCACAACCAGATTTGCTTTTGCTTACTATCAAAGGGATGCGTCACAATATTAGTCATGTCGGGACTGAAATCATCTACATAATATAGCCCCCTTCTCTTAGTACCACGACTAAGGATCTCCTTAGTGTGAATATCTTGAAGTAAACAAAAACTCGGGTAAATGAGTACACAACTATTCAATTGTTCAGTAAGCTGACTAATTGACAATAATTTATTGGATAAAGATGGAATAAGTAAAGTATTAGACAGTGAGAGAAAGGATGACAATGAAACAGTGCTAGCCCCTGTCACAGGATAAGTAACTCCATTAGCAATACAAGTTCATCGGGGTTGTGTAATATTCAGAAAATAATCAAGATCAAACGTCATATGATCAGTTGCACCGAAATCAATTATCTAGCTTCTAGAATCAATCTTATCAGAAGTATGGAATCCATAACCAATACCATTACTGGTTGTATCGCGTTGTGTTCGATCTTTGAAAGTAGCCCACCATGGGGTAGCCGTGCAATTTAAAACAAGTCTCACGAGTGTGTCTCGGATCACCACAATATGCGCAATCTCGTCCATGTGTCGGAAGTCACAATCTGTGCGGCGAAAGATGCATAGAATACAGGTTTAGTAGGAATTTGGATCGGGAGCTGAGCCTGAGTCTAGGCCGGAGTCTAAGTCGAAGTAGGAATCTGGGTCTAAATTAGAGACAAATTCGGGGTTTGGGTCATCATCGAAGTCGGGGTCGAGGTCATCATCGGAGTCAGGGTCAGGGTCATCATCTGAGTCGATGTCGGGGTCATCGTCGTCATAGTCAAGGTCGAGGTCGTTAAAATAGGATCTTGATTCAGGATCAGGTTTAGGGTCATCAAAATAGGATCCTGATTCAGGATCAGATTCGGGGTCAAAGTCTGCATCTATAGGAGCTGAGCCACCTGGACACTCAACCCAACTATGATTGGTTGAGAATGAGAGAAGGAGTCGATGGTGCTACTGCCATGAAGATTGAAAAAATCATCAACCCCATAGCTGCAGCGGGGGTTGGAAACTAGAGTCAGCAATTCCAAGATCACTGCTATAATACCATGCTAAAATATGAGAACTATGAGAGAATATTTGTTTGTGGGAATTTTCTGTATATTTTTCTCCTTGTAGGAGGTCATATTTATAATACAACAAAACCTGAATGATCAAGTAAATAATAAATTCCTATTTCTATTTATAGTAGTAAATCAGGAATTAAAGTAAATCAAATATAATTATAATAGGAATCCTTGGTGTGTAAGGAAACAAAGTCAATTGTCCACAAGTCATGCCAACAAACTTACTATAAAAGATATTGAACTATAACTTCACATCCATGCACTCCTTAACCTTATTTAATACCTAATTGAAATAATGTAATACATTGCATGAATTAATAAAATTCTCATTTTTGTTTTACACATGTTATGAACTCATTAAGTTCATATTTTAATGTTGTCTAAAACTTTGTAATAAAACTTATAAAATATCTAGAAAAACATTATATAAAAAAAAAGCCAGGCCTGCTCGGCCCGCCAAGCCCATCAAGATAAGAAAATCACATTGGTTGTAAGGAGGAGCTCATCTTCAATATTAAGGAGTCAAGCCATGCTCATTGCAAAATAAGTAAATACGTCTAGAAGGCATTAGAAATTATTATTATTTTTTTAAAAAGCAAAATTTACTATATATATTTTTTTCTAAAGACCCGGAATCTTGCTCTTGCTTTGCTCTATATTTTCCACCCTATATGGCCCTTTCTTGCAACTTTTCTATGTCTTTGTGAAAGTCTACAACTCACCGTGATGGTCCCCGGGTTCACATAAAACAAGGCCGGAGCACTTTTTCTTCTTCATCTTCTATCACCTTTATCTTTAACTTCTCAATCAACTACCCTATAAAACATAATATATAATACTAATATATAGGCGTACATAGCTTTTGCTTTTATAATCCTACTTCACGTTCCTCCCAATTAGACCATGCAAAAGGTGATCACTTACACTCTGCTTTGAATTGATTTTGGTCGTCGAATTGTTATGCAGTGGTCAAAAAAGAGATGGTAGATATTTTCCATTTGCCATGTAGCCTCTCCCATTTGGATTTGGATGTATTGGGGTTGTGTCAATGCCTTAGAAAAGGGTTAATTATGCCTATGTACATAGGTAACAATTTCTGTGGCAATGTAAAAATTTAAATAAATTAGCTTGTAATTAGGAAATTGGTCATCATAAGTAAACTCGAGAAATGTGATTTTACCTATATGCATGATTGACACCGCTTGAAACATATATTTTAGTGGGAAAGATTCTGTGACTAGAAAATGCTTATCCATTTAGAACACTCCTTATCCAAGAAGCATAATTTTGTAACTCATTGGAGGAACAGCCTTTCCACAGTCACTCCAACACAGTCATTGTTTGGTACCAAATTTATGAGGCAAAATCAAACATGGGGCTGGACAAAGATAAAGTGGTATAGATATTCATGAAAACATTTACTAGGTTTTAGCCTTTTCCATTCTTTTCTTTTTATAAAAACAGCGCATATGATGCCCCAAACGGTTATATATAATATATATATACTATATATATTATATATACAAACACAAAGAACTTTAGTTCAGTTAAGGGATCCCTCAAACTCGCTAATTAAGCAAGAGAAAGTGATGCCACTACATGAAAGAATTGTATCTGCTCTAGTAGCTCTTTTGCTTGGCTTGTTCCCCTTTTTTCCACTCTTGAAAACAACTCATTGCCAAGGTGGTCGCCGATGTGTGCATCGACAAGCACTCCGGAGACACTCCTACAGCTGTTTGCAAGGGCTCGACCGACTTCAGCTGCATCATCAGGTTGGTTTACTACGAGGGGGCTTCCTCCTTTGAAAATCTCAAGCTTGTTTATAGTGAATGAGCCATCAACTTCCACTACTTCCTTGAAGTCTTGTAAGCTTGAGGCGTACACAGGAATGTTGAAGTTGTCACGTTTCTCACTAGTGATAAGACCCTGTGGAAATTAATAATTATGAATTGTATTAATCTATGGATCACAATTTTATATGTCAAAAGCAGTAGTAGGTAATACAAAAGAATAATCTGAACCTAAATATTTATTTTACTAAATTATCAGCATATTGTCGATCACGTATTTTTTTTAGGGTAATGCTAGGCTTACCACATTTTTATACTACATTATGTACCACCTCTCTAATAGAGGTGGAGCCCACCAATACAATGGGGTTCATCTCTATTAAAGATGTGGAATAAAAATGTGATAAGCATATCATTTTCCATTTTTTTAACTGATCTAAATGTGCTTGTCCTGTGATGTAATATTATGATTATACTTTTGTTTTAAAAACAAGGTACCCAATTGATCCATATGGTCAATAATATGGACCACCCAGCAGCAAAACAATAGTTATTATTTAGCCGAGAAAAATCAAAGGGACAATTGGAGGGGTTGATCAATTTTTGGGATACCATCCAACGGCTAGAATTAGCACAACTTAATCATGATCAGTAAGAAGTCATAATAAGGTCTTGAAACCAATAACACCAAATCATGCATATATATCTTTTTTTCACACTGCACTTCGCATATATACAACATTATGCATAAATGTTTAATTTGTATGATTATTACCTCTTGGACAAGATCATTCCAAGCATCCTGAAAGTGGGTCCCAAAGAGAAGTCCTGGGCCACTTTGGTCAGTGGGGTCCACTGATGTTCTACCCAAACAGACGAGAAACATGGAGCCACCTTTCTTGAGCTCCTTGGCTCTTAACCTGAGAAAGCTTGCCAAGTCTGCCTGGAACTGCTTCTTGTATGCATTGACTGTGCTCTCCTTCGCTCCATGAATGAACACCCTTCCTTTGTTGTAGGCTGCTGATCTCTTGTCTACCACACTCTCTGGCACCTGGGCCCACCCAAGACATAAAAATATCATTTCATTAATGTTAATATGACCATGTCTAAAATTTGAAATTTGTACTTCAAATAGCTATTGAAATCCCAAGCAAATTTTTTGCATAAAGTAGCCTCACACACTGCTTTTGTTTCATCCTTTTTGGTCAAACCATTTGCAGCTTTCAGTTGCTGGGAAGTTGTTAATCTAGTTTTGTGCCTAGAATTTTGCACCTTGCTACTATGTTATACCATAAACAATGAAGTAATTTAAGCGTCTAAATTAAATTAGTGCAAGTATCTATCTATATATATAGTACAACTAATTATGGACTAAATAATTACCTGTGAGAGCCAGTGCAAGGAAAACGCAGAGTGGAAAAGATCAATGGACATCGACGGGAAAAGCCGCCGGTAGAAGGAGCCCGGGACTCCCGCAGCGAAGTAGGAGCGGTGGCTGTCGGCAGCGAGGGTCTCCTCCATGCTACCGCCGTGGTTAGCCAATGGAGGGAAGAGTTGGAAGAGGGTGTTGAAGTCATTGCTAGGGAGATCAGAGAAAAAGGCTGAGAACTCAGGTGGGTTATATCCCAAGGCCTCATAGCGCTTGGCAATGTGCTTGATGATCACATCTACGGTGTTGATGGTGTTGCTTCCACTTGAGCAACCAAGGTCCGCAACCACAAAGGGCACTTCTGGAGAGCTCAGTTGCACTCTGTCTAGGGTTTCTTTAAGCAGGTGAAGCATGGATCTTGCATGTATGGCCTGAAAAATGAAGGACAAAAGTATTTTGGCACAGCAACTTGAAACATAATGAAACTTTGATGAACAATTAATATAGTTAGTGGAATAATTACCTGGGCTTTGGAATTGTTAGCATAGCTGGACTCTCCTTTGCCTCCTTTCATGCTAAATATCTTCTCGAGCTTTATACTTGAAACTAAAACATTGTCCCCCTTGGGAGCCATGAACATGATCGATTAAAAGAAATATTTGTAATAAGATTGATACAATGGTGAGGGTGAAGGGGAGAGTTGGTAAATGGGGAGTATATATAGAGGGAGAGAAAGAGAGGGAGGGCCGTTGTTTTTCAGAAGAGTGTGACAATGAATTATGACATTTTGGAGTGGCATGATGATATCGAGCAACATCTTTAATTGTGTTCCTTAATGTGCACCAAGTTGGCGCAATGCTGTTTAATTAGCATAAAAGTATGGCCCTATATGTTTGTCATTTTGTCTACACTTTGATTTTCAATATTATTGAACTTTTTGATATTTTGTCCTTTATTATTATGCTTCAATATCCTAGAAATGTTGGTTGTTTCTATTTTTTTATTTTTTATTTGTTTTTTTGTTGACAATTTACCACACAGACTTTGCATTTGGTGTTAATGCATCACCTCCCTTAACTTCCATCTATTCTTCCCTTCAAAAATTCCAACACCCTAAAATTTGTTTACACGCCCATTTCATGTCATAATTATTCTAATTTTATCCCGATAGTAAACAAAACAAAATGACCCACCCCCAACACCCAAACCCCATGACAGCTGCTCCCCCGTACGAGAGAGAAAGGATGGTGGTCGGGAACAGTTGGCCGGGAGGGAAAGGAGGGAGTGGAGGTGGTTACCATGGGTGTGGGTTTGTGTTCCTGATCATTTATCTTTTGTTTTCCTCTTAATTATAGAGCAATTAAAGAAATATCCTTTGTAAGTCACCCATGTGCACATGATTTAATAGAAAATTTTATCAATAAGAATTTTGAATTTACAAGGGGACGGGTTCACACGGATCCAGGATTTTAAATTGGGGTAGACTAAATTTACATTACACACAAACCTATTAAGAAGATAGAAAACTCGACAATACGAATGAATTTCATTGATCACAAAAATACATCCTAATCAAGAAGACATAATGAGCTTTATCCCATAAAATTCATCTAGTACGTATCTCTTTTATGTTTTCTACATGCAGGGGTGTGAAGTGAAGGACAAATTATTTTCTACCATAAAAGAAAATAGGGGGTTGTTTTCCACCAAAAAATGGAGGTTTAGCCTTTGGCCCTTTTTGTACCAAAAAAATAAAAAAAGGTGAAGGGTTAGGGTTGAGGTAACTGACCCTGACTTATCTCTTAATATTTATAGTGCAAAATTG